TTATTATAAATCAGAGCATTTACTTAAATATTTGTATCTAAAAAAAAAAAGAATGTATAAACATAAAAATGTCTTAAAATAATCATAATATATTATCTCAGAGTTATAGACAGATATTAAATAGGATTATTTATAAATCTATATTAGTATGGCACAAGGCTAAGAGGAGCGCATGGATAAATATTTTTACGTAGTTAGTGTTACACCGCCATTCAAAATATTGCAGTGAACACTGACCACTAATTCCAGTGCGGAATATATAATTATTAGGGTGTTCCGAAAGTAATTACGTATTTCAGATGAATTAATTATGAGACTACCAACCAAGGAAGAACGAACAACCGATATTATACCTAGAATTTGTTTATCGTCTCTTCTATCTGACAGTTTGTTGCTTATAGTAATTTCAGATTAACACAATCGAGGATTAGTGCTTTAAAAAGCAACATATTCGCCATTGCAAATTGTATGGATTCCGAAAAGGTGTTACCGCTACAGAGATATTTTAAGGTATTTGTATAGTGTATACAAGTGCAGTGTAGACTGTGTATTAAATGGTGTTAAAATGGCGATTGCAACGTATCTCAAAAAAAAAAAAACACGCTCTGGAAGACTACTTGATCTGAAGAAAGAACATTTGACGGGGACTTCTGGATTGATTCCACATCTCAGTACCAAAGATTTGGGGCAAAAACTTGTTCAGTGATCGACGAACAATTCATACGAATTCTGAAAAATTGCAAAGAAGGAATTTTTTTTATTATTATTTCATGAGCTTTCTTTTGCAAAAACCGAACAAATTCTTTTACCAGTCGTAAAAGTCTTTTAACCAGGAACGCTAAGCTTTCATTTTTGGTTAGCATTGGTACAGATGGTAAAAATAAAAAAAAATGGGTTATGCCTATCAACAGAAAGCGAAAACAAAAATTACAAACCAGTTCCAACGCAAAAGCCTGTTGCAAAGTCTTTATTTGTCACTGGTGGAATATGAAAGCTGTTGTCCACGACGAACAACTGGAAAATAGAACATTTTTTTTATCAGAATCTTGATCGGGTAAACGAAACATTACGTTAATGTGCCCTGCTTTGACAAAGAGAAAAGATGTTATTTTTTTTCTGAGGTGTTTCCATAACTAAGAATACTGTTTGTAAGTCGTCCGCTAGGTTCAGAAGAGGAAAATTTTTATCCGGACTACTGAGAGCATTCCGGCAGGCCTACAGTCGTCGATGGTAACCAAAACAAGACGACGATTAAAAATAATCCATGTCACATGACACGGGACATTGCAGAGACGCTCCACGTCTCGCATATAAGCGTTGTAAGGTATGAGAAAATGCAACGATATTTGGGTGCTTCATGATTTAACAGAACAATTTAATGGGCAATATTTTCATCTGCGACTCTCTGTTCAAACGCAATAAAAATCAATTAATTCTTGAAAAGAACGATCTCACAGGCAATGAGGAATAAATTGTTTACAATAATGTGGAGCGAAAAAAAGTGAGCCCCTCACTGACCACTACAAAAACTGTTCATTGTGTATTACGAGTTCCTTCCCTACAAAAAAAAAGACATTATTTTCTTACAACTACTGTTCCCGTTTCGAGCGATTAAAGATAGCAATCAATGAAAAACGCCCGGATGGAAGTCATCTTCGAATAAGGACAACGTTAGGTCTCACATCTCTTTGCAGAAGCGATAGAAATTAGTACAGTTTGACTGGAATGTTTTTACGACATCTGTCGTACTTTTTCTCACATTGCAGCCCCGGAATATATCTTATTCTGATCTCTACAAAATAATCTTAATGGAAAACTTCTCTGGATAGCTACAAAAACAACTTGGACCTATTCATTCACCTTGAAAGATGCCAACGTCTAGAAACATGAAACAAAGGATTTGTCGCAAAGGTGACGAAAATGAGTGAAACAAAATGACACATATGAGACATATGACAAATATTCCAGTTCAAATTCACTTAAAAATCTCCACTAACTTTTCTTCCTTCCCAATGCATACATATATATATATATATATATATATATATATATATATATATATATATAGGGTGTAGCAAAAATACTTTAACAAACTTTGAGAGCGGGTTCCACACAACAAAACAAGGACAAAAGATCATATAGACATATGTTCGAAAACACTTCGTTTTTGAATTAGTAAGTTTAAAGTTTACGGTAGACATTTACGGTAGACAAACTTTGGAGCGGATTCCTGATACCAAAACAAGGTAAAATTGTCTTAAATTAAACATTGAAAACAGACTAGCTACAAATGTACACGAATTACAAATGTAACCTAGTCCTCATGACAACATAGCGCCATCTACCGTAAACTTTCTTTAAACTTAATAAGACCGCGTATCTTATTTCTATCGGCCGAAGCGCACAGATTTCACGAATATTCATGCAGGTAGACGATAATAAATAAATAAATATACTGTCTACTAATTAAATGGAGCATCTACTCAAATACTAGTATCCACTAAAAGTAACGTTTAAGTAACATATATACATGGTGGATCAAAAATACTTTTTACAAACTTTGAGGGCAGGTTCCTCACATCAAAACAAGAACAAAAGTACATATAAACATATACCGGCAAATCATTTGTTTTTGAGTTATTAATTTTAAAGAAAGTTACGGTAGATAGTGCTGTGTTACCAGGTGGACTAGGTTACATTTATCATTCGTGTACACTTGTGGCTAGTCTGTATCCTCTGAAAATAACGTTTAAGTAATAAAAATCTGTCGAATTAATAAATAAAAAATCATCCCCTGCACACACACACACACACACACACACATATATATATATATATATATATATATATATATATATATATATATATATATATATATATATGCATGTTTCATTAAAAACGACAAGGTATTAAGATTAAGCTTTTTTATTTAATTTTTCTTGTATTCAAACACGTGTTGTCATTTTTGGACACAGAGTGTAGAAACTGTCCAAATGTTCTGTAATTCCGAGCACTTTCGGATATAATTTTAGCCATTATTAAGGATGATTTTATTTTTTCAATTTAATTGGGTTTGTGCGTTTTGTGTATGTTTTTAGTGTTATAGAGATGTTTTATTTTCCTAACACAGTTAGCACATTGTGGCCATGTCCGTATATATATATATATATATATATATATATATATGTTCTTTATTACTATAAACGTTATTTCTAGTGGGAACACGTATATGATTTGCTATCCCTGTATTTGTTTATTTGTTTTAATTTCTGAAACAGTGAAATTAATAACAACAGGACTAGATTGAGAAGTGTTATAAAAGAAAATTTGAGCCTCGGACAGGAATCGAATCCACATTCACCTTTTCATTAGGGAAATGTTTTTTTATAGACAAAACATGCCCTTACCAGTTCGGTAACGTAAACCCCTTGATGCGCATTCATTAAATAGATAATTCAAACCTTGTTCTTTTAAATTATATTAGAATTTAAGTTAGAACTTTCACACTGGCTTTCAAAGAAAGTATTAATAAGAAAAAGAACTGTAAAAAATAAAAGAATCTCCATTGCCTTAAACTGCCATTATTTGTATTTGTCAGTTGTAAGAAGACAGAATGCATTATTCTCAGTAAGTTTGGTTTGGTTTGGTTTGGTTTGGTTTGGTTTGGTTTGGTTTGCTTTACGGTATATCAGCCTCAATGGGCTTTTTAATGCCGACAAGATTTTTATTGCTGGCAATATTTTTTTAATGTATAGCTGGTATTTTTTTTTCAAAAATGTATTGTTGGTAATAATTTTCTTAAAAAAATTATTGCTGGTAATTTTTACAAAGTATATCTGGTATTAAAACCTATGTTTACACTTTTATAGACACCGAAATCAGCATTGGAATAGTGAAAGATGCCTTCCAAAACTAAGCAATGTTTTAAGAAACTGGAAGATTCCATAAGAAGCAAAGAGTACTGAAATGTTATGTAGCAGTGAAGGTTGATAGATGAAGAGAAAACTTGAGGCAACAATTATATGATTCTACAGAAGGATGCTGAGAATACCATGGTCTGAACATGTGAGTTTTAAAATAAATGAAAACAACAAGGAGGCTTATACTTAGAATCAGAAATCTGCAGTTGACATTTCTTGGACACATAGTGAGGAAAGTATACTTGGAGAACGTGATACTGGACATATTGAAGCAAGAATAACTACATAACGAGCTTGTGTAAATGACCTAGAAGAGATGGTGAAACGTCAAACTTTACTAAGTGCTAAAACGAGTGGAAGTTGTGAAGAGTCATGAAGAGACATGGCACGTAAAAGAACTCCATAAGACAGTGATGTTAAATGCAAACTGTATTGTTTGATAGACGACCAAATACGATACATAAATTCCATGATTTTAAAAGCTGATGTTCTACTCAGATAAACCTTTCTCCTTAGAAGTTGACATAACACAGTCTTCTTATTTTTATACTCAGCAGTACGAATTTATATAAGTATCAATAGTTGTCATCGATTTCTGATAGCCTGCCAAACGAAGATTTATTCACAAGCGGAAACCGTAAAAACAGTCAGACACATACTTATATAAGTGGTTACTTGGCTATCTCCAACAGTCATCATTGTTGTAATTCGCATTATGAATACCAACAGAGCTCGGACTAAGCCTCCGCCATAGCCTCCATCGCAACCAGTATTATTAGCTTTATTATTGCTACCATTATGGGACTCCTTCTCTGAGGTCAGTCGCTGCTGTATTCGATCTTAAGAGGTAATGGGTTTATTTGAGTAATTTTCTGCCACACTGCTTCTTTATTGGTCTAATTTGTGCCTTTCTTACCGGGCAAATTCCGGGGTCGGCCTATCTCTAGTATTTGACAAACACAAAGCCGGGACACGCCTGACTGGTTTGCAACTCACTTAGGAGATTGAATTGAGCGACACGCCTCTACTCGTCCGAATCTTGAGAGTGACGGGAAGTAAAAGATTCCAATAGACTGTCGATTAGTTAAAGAGTGATAGGGAAATATATTGATGGAATAGAGTAAGTAATCGAGAGTGGGAATCAGTGATCGATTGAGGAATTGGGAGGAGAGGCATCGAAGATGGGGAAAAGAACGGAAAGAAATTGTAAGGAAGTGGGGGTGAACGGAAAATGAGATGAATACAAGAGAGGAAGCAGACAGAACAGACAAAAAAGAATAGCACAAAAACATATCGGAAACACATTTGGAACGAAAGGGAAATAGCTAAGAAAGAGATGAGTGTAAAAGAAAGACAAAATGATAAAGTGAGGAGACGAAGAGAGTCGAAAAGAAAGAAGAAAAAGACACAGAGAGAAAAAGACGGAGAAAGAAAAGAAAAAAAAAATGACAAGTAAAAAGTGAAGGGAATCGAAGAGAACGGAAAGGAAAAAGAAATAAGAGTAAGAAAATTAGAGAGGAGGAGGCGGGAGACGACGTTTAGAAAGAAATAAAATGATAGAAAAGAAAGAGAAGGGTGGGAAAAATAAGAAAGCATGAAAAGGGGAGTGGAAAGAAAAAAAACGTGCAAATTGGTGATTAAAAGAGAGACAGGAAGACATAAAGAAAGAAGGAAAAAAGAGAGAAAATATAGTTGAAAAAAATGACTGCCGGAGAAAGAGTCACAAGGTGAGATGGAAAGAGTGGATGAATAAATAACAAGAGAGTTGAAAAATAGAAAGAAAAGAAAGTTCGAGAACAAAAATAAAGACAAAAAAATGAGACAGTTGAATAAAAATAAACCTGAGGAAAAAGAAAGAAATAAAAGAAGATTGAAAAGAGAAAAAAAAACTCAAGGATACAGAGTGGGAAAGAACGAAAAAAAAAAAAAAAAAGAAAACGAAGAGAATCAAAAAGAAAAATATGATAAAGTGAAAGGTATTAAAAAAGATGGGAATAAAATTAAAATGGCCGCGTGTCATTCGATACTAAGGTTACTAAATATCGAAATGAACTGTTGGTTCATTTTGTGTAGTCGTAATAGTAGTAGTACTATTACTAACAATAATCATGATCATCATAAAAATCATAATAATAATCTAAAAACGAAAAAGAAGTAAATTCCATATAACAAGAAGATAGAATGACCGCTACATTGACAAGGAGAATTGATCTAGATTGACGGCAATAAAAAGAGTTAACGATAAAAGGGAAAACGAGAAGTTGTGTTCCTTTCCACTAAAGACGGCGATCCCCGGAGACACTATCGGAATACAAGCCGCATATCTATATATCACCCATCCGCTGCCTTCACTTTTCTTACGAAGTGATCATCCCACCTACCAGCCCCGACTTCACACCGATTACAAGACGGTAACTCCAACTGCAGGCCGCCACAGTTTCTTGCTTTGTCTACGAGACATACACATAACATACATACAGTTTGTTAAATCAACCACACAAGACGATTTACATATCAATTTGAGAGAGGAAAAAAATGATTAAAGTTCCTCCCGAACGGTAACCACGCGCCGATAGCGAGATTTGTGCGAGACTACGTGAAAAGCGATAAAAACAAATAATAATCGTAGAGAGAAGAGACAGCTGAAAACGGGCGCGGGGAGAGAGAGAGAGAGAGAGAAAGCGAGTGTAAACGAGAAAAAGAAGAGTGGGTGGGAATGTGGTGTGAGTCGTGGGGAGGAGACTAGTAGAAGACGTGGTTAAAAAATAAAGACATACAAAATGGCGCTGGTGAGACATAATAAAAATAAAAGGGGAAGAAACTAAAAATAAAGATTTAGAATGCAACACAAATATGCCCAAGCATACTCATATAGAGTCACACGTGCGGCCAGACAGACACTTACACATAAATACACGCACGAAGCCACACAGGTACACTCGCAAACACACATCCGTGTAGACCTTCACATAGTCTTCATCAGAATACCAGCACATTAATCAAGTCAAAAATACTTTATGAAGACACTTATACTACAGTAACGGAAGAACACACACACACACACACACACACACACACACACACACACATATATATATATATATATATATATATATATATATATGCGTGGTGTGTGTGTCTGTGTGAGTGAATGTGTATAAAGTCAAGAATATATAAAAATATATAGAGAGAGAGAGACAAAGAAAGAAAGAAAGAAACGAACAAACAAGTAAGCAAGCAATCGAGTGGTTAGAACATTCGCTTTATGACCATGAGTGCCGGGTTCGAATCTCACCGCAGTTGATTTGTTTGGGGCGATTCCGGCATGTGGCATCTTTGCCTGAAAAACAATACGACGGTTTGAGACAATCCTTGTGATTGAAATTGGGTAGACAGAACAGTTGGGTTCGTCAATAGCACTATAACTAAGGTCTGCTCAGCATATTGGGTGTTTAACAAACAGAAATGCAATAGGGATTGAGTATCCACGAATACGAGCGTCCAGTATTATATATATATATATATATATATATATATATATATATATATATATATATATATATATATATATATATATATATATAAATACGGTTTTATACACCCACTTGAATAAACAAATAAATAAATAGATAAACAGATGGACAATAATAAAATAATCCTCCCGACACAAAACGAATTGGAGGCGCACCATAAAAATATCCCTCACTGGGTACAAACTAAAGGATGACCGCAAACATTAGCCTTGAAATAGATACCCTACCCAACCTTAGCAAAACCTCTCAGATGATGATGAATCTATAGATAAGAATTAACTCTCTGACCACTTAACGAAGAAAACTAGCCTAGCCGCTTCCACAATAACGAATGTTATGACCGACCATGCCTAAAAACACACATAAACCAAAAGATAGCTTATTCCTAAAATTTCGCTTGAAGATGAAACGAGACTAAACACCTAAATTCAACTTAATTTTAATAATTATTTGGATGGTTTCGGCTCTCGTTTTTGAAACATGAGAACTCTTATGTAGCGAAGGAATCATATTTTTAAACAAAAAATATTATATATATATTTATATATATATATATATATATATATAGGTCGAAGGGCAGCAATAAGTCTTTTACACAACCTGCATTAAAGGCAAATGACAAGGTACTGCAATTAAGCTTTTTATTCAGTTTTTCTGGAAATAAACTGTGTAAAACCCGTCCGAATGTTCTATATAACCGAGCGCCTTCGGTAGTTCTGTTTGCCATTATCAAAAATTTGTAAAAAATTTTTAACTGAATATGTAGATTTTTATATATGCATATCTATAGTGATGTGAATGGTTTTTTTTTTATTATTTTGTGTTCGTGTTTATAGTTGGTTTTGTTGAAGGTCGGCCTTTTCTTTATTTATTATTAGTGCATCTTTTATTTTTAGCCTTTATATGTTGATTAGGTTATTATAGTCGTATTTTCTACGAATATGTTGCTGACAAAGTTTGGTAGGTTTCTGTGTATGTTTAAATGACATCTAATTAGTTTTATACACACACGCATACATATATATTTTCTATACATTTATGTATATATAAATACCTGTGTGTATATGCATGTGTGTGTGTTTGTGTGTCTGGTTTAGAATTTGTTATATTTAATAAGAATATCCAACATGGATTATTTATAGCTAAAGACAGTGTGGATATACCATAACACACTGTCCAAAGAACATGTTGACTGTCAGTTTCACACTTTAATGCAGCCTTCATATGTATATATATATCTATATATATATATATATATATATATATATATATATATATATATATATATGTGTGTGTGTGTGTGTGTGTGTATAAATAAAAGAAAGAACAGTAAGATATATAATCTGGTGTTCTTATAGATATTCCATTTTTTGAAACATGGTTAGAATTGTGTAGCGAAAAAACATATTTTAAATCAATTAATTTATAATATATATATATATATATATATATATATATATATATATATATATATTCAAGAATGTTTCGTTTAATAATTTAGACATATTATGTTAATTTATTTTAATTTTAGTCCTTTCAAGTCCATGGATTAATTTCTTGGTAGCTGTAGATAACTGATCAAGAAAAACTCCAATTTTTTTTTCAAATAATTTTTATTTTCCCAAGTACTTTAAATTCTTCTGAGATCATCTTCAAGGGTTGAGTGTCTGTGGATATGTGTGCATGAATACCGTAAAATTCAAAATATTCATTCCTTATGCAAAGGAAGTGACTTTTGTGATTTTCTATTATATTTTTGGGCATGATCACCGTAAATTTAAAAATATTTACCCATTATGCAAGGGAGGTAACTTATGTGATTCTGTTTGGAGTATATTTTTATGGATTTGAAAGATTTTTTTTTTTAATTTTACTTTTTAACAATTCTAATTAAGAATATTTAAAAAATTGCTGCTATAAACATTTGAGAAGTTTGTTGCTATACTTCTAAATAATTTTTATTTTTAGCCGCAATTCTCTTATATAAAGAGCTTCTAGAATTTTTAGTTTTTGCTTATTATATCTTGGTGAAGTACTCTTGTATTTTCAACTAATATCTGTCTAAACTGTGAATGTGGGCATGAATGTTCCTTTAAATGTTCTGAGATTGAACTATGATCGTTTAAGTGAAACGTAAGTCTTCTCCTCATGGTCATTGTAGTAAAACCAACATACATACTATTAACACTTTTGTCAGAGATGCAATCTCCCAAAAAACATTTAAATTGATATACGATGTTGGTCTTTTGTAAAACGTCAATAGACAGAGAGAAGAGTTGTTATGAATGGCTAAGTTGTTTTTTTTAAATTATATAGTATATAATTAATTTTGTTAATGGAATCAGTGGAGGATATATTAGTGTTTATGAGACTTTTAAAAATGCTTTCATCTAGTATATGGAATGCATTTGATTATGGTACAGTAGTTTGATATGTTTACTGTTATTTGAGTATGTATTATGTTCTTTTTTATTTATGTAATATTTTTGTTAGCTCGTCCAGTTTGTCCGTCAATTATGTAATTAGGAAAGTAATTACTAATGAAGTATTGTGTAATATTTTTTTGTTGAGGAATTTTACTTTTCTACGGTTTATCAAGTTTCGTATAATAGCTATTTTATAATAGGACATTGACTTTTATAGCTGAGAGTTTATGCTAGCTGTTTTTTATAAGGCAAACTAGTAAATGTATTGTTGTTGGCATCGAACAATACATAAAAAAAACAGGATTTTATAGTCGTTGCTAAATTCGTATGTGAACTTAAGTTTTTTTTGTACTTCATGTATTTCGTCTATGGTTTTGACTAAAATGTAAATATCATCCACATATCTTAGGTAAATGGACCTTTTTTTGTGGTATTAAGTACATTATTTTCTAGGTTAGTCATGTAGAAGTTGCTAAATGTTGGTCCCAGGATGGAACCCATGGAAACACCATCGCATTGTACGTATATGTTATTTTGATGGTCATAGTAGGGAACTTCTGTGGTGCACATCAAGAGTAGTTTTCGTAAAATATTAGGACTAATTCTTATTGGTGGGAAAGATGGATTGTTGTAGATACACTTTATGATTATATCGATCGTTTCTCTAACTGGGACGTTGGTGAATAAGACTTTCAACGTCAAGTGAGGTTATGGTTTCATTATTAGGTTTTTGTGCTTTCAGAATTTAATGCAGTTCGCGTGTTTATTTACTGTTGTATTTATTGGGTATGTATGGCGCAATTAGTTGATTTATAACTTTGGCTGGTTGGCAAATATGAGTGGGGATTTGGGATATGATAGGACGGAGAGGAAAGTTTGCTTTTTGTATTTTTGTAATTCCATACAGGTATCATACAGGTATACTCACCAATTATTTTAGGAAGTTTTAAAATATCTAATACTGCATTATTAGCTGGGATAAGTTTGTTGATTTTAGTTGGTTGATCGTATTTTTGATAACTTTATAAAATTTGGGGTGATTGTCCAGTATTTGTTGCATCTTTGAATAATAATGGGATTTGTTTAACATCACGAAGATATTAGTTTTATTGACTTTTTTAACTACTATATTTGTGTTGTTACGTAGTTCCTTACCCGCAACTTTTAATTGTTTTGATAGAAGAGTTGTTTTTCCTTTTATCATGCCTATCTTTTATTGCTTCAGCTATTATATATATATATATATATATATATATATATATATATATATATATATATATGTTGTGCGTGTGTTGGGTTATCGAAATAGTTTTCGTTAGCGAGTTTTACGACTGAATAGGGAGTCCGTTCCTCATGAGATCATACAGTCGGCCTTGTACTACGTCTAAGCTACACTTAGTAAATCAGTATATATATATATATATATATATATATATATATATATATATATATATATATATATATATGTGTGTGTGTGTGTGTGTGTGTGTGTGTGTGTGTGTGTGTGTGTGAAAATTCAGAAATAACTAAAATTATATCTGTAAAAAGACAACATAAATAAAGACAGGAATAAAAAAAAAAAAAACATCTACTGACTTTTGATTATTATTCAACTTTAAATTACATCACCTAGCGTCTTCCATAATTTAACTTGACTTTCAGTTACAAACTGAGTTATACTTTGAGTGTTCTTAAATTTCAGAATTCTGGAAAACTAAAGACTTTTTTTTTTTTTAGTTCTGTTTGTAAATATTTGTTGCAAAATAAAATACATACATTTTCCTCGATAAATTTTATCAGAGGACGAAACGCCTCGGCGAAGATAAATTTGTCTTCATTCACACGCACGCACACACACACAC